TTTCCAGGTCTACACGTTCTCCCTCATCCCCAATACAGGAGGAGGAAGATGAGGAGAGGATGTCGGAGCTCTCTGATGCCCAGCCTCAGTCTGTTCTGCCCTGTAGTCTCAGTCCCACTGAGGTCAGCCACTATCAAGTTCTTCCCTGTACTTCCCTGAAATGGTGCCCATTGACAAGCCAATAAATGCTAACATTTTATTTTAAGGTGACATAGTTACGTTACGTGTACTTGCAGTACTTGTAGTAATAACAGTATAGTATAGTATATTAATAACAGTAAATCAACTAAACCAAACCTTAACCTTATAGAAGAGGTTCTCAACTCTGGCCCTCAAGGTCCACTTTCTTACAGCTTTTTACTCCAACATGCCCTATAGTTTAGGAGTAATAGTTCATTAATATTACACAGTACTGTGTAATTACACTGTAACAACGTCACCTTCAAATCAAGTGTAACCCAGCAGATGGCTTTCTTTTAACAGTGTACTTAAAGGCGAGCAGGAACTCCTATGTTTTGTGAAGAGTTTTCTTACTCTCGGTCTTGAAATTACCTGTCTGAGTGTCTGTTGTATAAATAATACCGTACAATACTTTCTTCACAAATGTATTTCTTGGAAACATTCATTATGCATTTGTGTGATTCATGGCATGGATGAGCTGACTGTGTAACTCCATGGGTTAGTTTGCATAGATCTGTGGGTTTTACCTGGTTGCATGTGACTGATAAAGAAATGCAAACTAGTTAACAACCTACACTGTTGTGTCTGCTTATCATTTCCCACAACCTGTAAAAAAAAAACTGGCTCATTCTAGTTTATTTCCCAACAGGCCACAGTAGAGGGTGTGTCTACCAAACCTGGCTTCCCAAATTCAGGTTAGCAAACTTGATGTGCAAATCAGCATTAAAATTAAGCATTTCATGTCATTGTTGCAAATAATATGACAGCAGCAGTTAAAAAAAAGATAAAACTGTTGGATATATATGTATATAAAATTAACATTCTGACTGGCATGCCATTCTCTCAGGCTTTGGTTGTGTATCAGTACCAGTGATGAAGAACAAACCATGTTAATCATGTCATGTTGGCAGGTTCAGAGAGCAGATCCCTGGATGTGTCTGTGAGTGAAATCCTACAGGACTGCCACAGCGAGCGCAGCAGCCTGAGCCGGACAGAAAGTGACCCCTCAGCAGATCTGGCCCTGCCTGGTGAGTCAGTACCCCACAATCCTGACACCCCCATGAAGTCTGCCAAAACTCCTTGTGTAGGAATAGTTCCTTTTGAGTCCTTTTTCGAGGTCGGGGCATCTTTTACGCACTAATAAACCTTTGTACTGTTGACTTTGAGAAAATGCAAAAGAGCAAAGTTGGAGCAAGCAAATTTTTCAGCATGTTTGGCAGAACTGATGCTGTGCTGTGTAAACCTTCTCTGTTGTTGCTGCTTCCTTGCTCAGCAATTTCTACCAAGTAAAGCTTCTGTTTAAAAAAAAAAAATGTCAGTCTTTAAAAGCATTTTTCTGTTCTCTTACAGTGTATTTTATATGCCGTCTATACACTAGAAAGAAAAAATCTCAAGTACATCAAGACGTTCTTAATAGGGGTGTAAATATTTTCTCTGATCATTTGATTATGATTCTTGATGTAAAATCATGAAATCTGAAATTGTATAATTCTATTAGGTAATTTTGTTTTAAACAAATTCTTTGAAAATATGTTTCAGCTACAAATGTGATTGGATTAAATGTTATTTTTTTATTTTATTAAACGAGTAGTTTTTGTAATTAAATATAATTGATTAACATAGTACACAGCATTTATATTTTGAATGAGAAATGAAAAGTTTATTATAGTATTTAAATGTAACTAGTAATGAAATCAGATGTTAAATTAAAAAAATTGTGTTGTAGTCCATTTTCACCACATAAGAATAAAAAAACTAAACAAAAAAAACAATTATAAAGCTTTGTTAAATCATAATTATAACATAAACAGTCCTAATTATGAGATACTAAGTCATTATTATGTCAAATGTATAAAATACTAGGTCATTATGACAAAAAATTTACTTTTGTTAATCTCAATTTAAATTTTCACAATTATGATTTACTATGTCATAATTTTGTTTTATGATTTACCAAAGCATAAAACATGCTTATGTGGCAGAAATGGACTTCCATGCTGGTTCTGTATGTCTAACGCATGTCTAATGCTGTGCTGTCTCCTAACCCTCTCTCTTTCTCACTCTAACTCGGCTTGCTCTTAACACGCATAGCGTCTGAGTCATGGTCCACTGCTGTAGAGGAATGTTGACTCTGGTAGGTCACCAATGTCATGAATATTTCTTTCTTTTTACTGGTTGTCTATTTTTCTACCAGTCGCTTTGTAAGAGTCAGTTCATGAGTAATTTATAAGTCACATGCAAACACATTACCAAAAGTTTGGACACACCTTTTCATACTGTATGTCCATGATAGATACTTCACAATCTGGTCCAGCATTTTAAAACAGTTGTAATGAAAGAAAATTCATATGTAATCCCAACTGCAAAACTAATTTTAACCATAAGATCATGAGAAAAATGAATTCAGTTAAATCTGTCCAAACATGAAGTGAATTTTCTCACTCCACCTGTCTTCACCTTTCCTCAGGTTCATCAGAGTCCATAGAAAGCCTGAAGAGTCAGAGCACCAGCAGCTCCAGTCAGCCCCTGCTCTGCCTCCCCAGCACCCTGCGCATGGAAGATGAGCGGCTCCCTTCATAAACACCCCCGCTGTGCCAGTTTCATCAACCCGCTGTTTCAAATCAAACTTATTCCCTTTCCAGCACACTGTTGTTCATGAGTGCTACCGTCTCTGTTAAGACAATTACTTCTTGAGTACTGCAATCAAAGCCGTGTAGTGAAGAGTCTAAGATATTTCAGTGTGTAATAGAAAAACGTACAAAAAAAAAAGGTCATTTATAAGACAGTCATAGCTTTTGCTTTGAGAGTTCAGAAATTTTGAATGGCTCAAATTCTTTTAATGGATGCTCAGTCTCTTTGAAGTATGCAGCTTCATGGTGATTTATGACTTCGTACCTTTTTTTATTTTTTAATAATCAGCAAATGAACACTAAATGCATCAGATTACAGTATGATACGGACGCATAGTATAATCAGTAATCCAGTTGAAGTAGTCATCTACGTCTGTATCTTATATATTTGTTCTGTGCCTTATAGTACTGTGTGGCTGTCCCTTCGTCCTCCCGTTGAAATAGACAAAGTGGGAAGCTGTAGCACTTCTTGAAGCTTTAATGAGTAGTTTATAGAGGGATCTGCCATGATTTACAGTGACATATCTGATGCTTTTTAGTGAATTCACTGCTGCTTACCGATGTCAGGCACCTTTAAAAGTTATGTATGTGTATGTAGTCAAATCGTTTTATCATAAAGTGTTGTGCACAAATATGAGTCACTGTGGTTATTTATATTTTAAGGCATAAATTGCATTACATTATAATGTATCCTGCCGTTCCAGCATAAACCCTAATTCCAGTAGCTACCTTAAAGAAATCTAGAAATGAAGCAATGCCTAATTACTAATAATACCATAAATAACTAGATGCCTTTAAAATGCTGTTCATTGAACTTTGTGTCAATCAAAGAATCCACAAAAATATTAAGTAAAGCTGTTTTCGTCGTTGATAATAATTGAACGTCTAATGAGCATATTAGAAGGATTTCTGAAGGCGGGATTAATGGCTGCTGAACATTACACAAAAATACATTTCGCTCTTTTTCTTTATTTACATTGTGATATTTCACAATATTGCTGTTTTACTGTATTTTTAAATAAATGTTATCTTGGTTAGACTTTCACAAAACATTAAAAAAAATCTTCAATATGATTCTGCTTAGTGTAGAGACTATGTTTAGCCAGATGGTGGCAGTGTGTTCACTCCTTTAGAAACAGGCTCAACTTAAGTCAGACAACTAAAATATTTGAACTCAAATACAGAGACTAATTTTTAGAGGGTTTACTCAGCCGAACGGCTGTATGTTGGCCAGTGTGGTGTGTAAGCCACTGCTTTGAGAGGCAGAGGTCTCCTCAGGCGGGATGTGTGGCGCGCTCCTTCATTGAACGACACTATTGTCATTTGTGCGCCTTTTCTAAACTCTTGGCGCGCGCATAGTTTATTACCAACGACTTTCTAACGACTCACTCCAGGCATGTAGCAAAGTTAAAAGGAAAATTGATGTCGAGAAAGAATTTTAAAAATGATAACGATGCCGCTGCTGATGATAATAGATAAGACGCAAAAATATTAATGTATCAGTTTACAGGCTGCATTTGAATCAAGTAATATGTCTCAATTCACGAGGTTTAAAATATAATCATTTAATAAATTATAATTGCAAGAAAATGAGCACCTGTCACATTTCACGCGGATATGTGGTTGCAACGGCTGTATGTTGGCCAGTGTGGTGTGTAAGCCACTGCTTTGAGAGGCAGAGGTCTCCTCAGGCGGGATGAGTGGCGCGCTCCTTCATTGAACGACACTATTGTCATTTGTGCGCCTTTTCTAAACTCTTGGCGCGCGCATAGTTTATTACCAACGACTTTCTAACGACTCACTCCAGGCATGTAGCAAAGTTAAAAGGAAAATTGATGTCGAGAAAGAATTTTTAAAATGATAACGATGCCGCTGCTGATGAAAATAGATAAGACGCAAAAATATTAATGTATCAGTTTACAGGCTGTATTTGAATCAAGTAATATGTCTCAATTCACGAGGTTTAAAATATAATCATTTAATAAATTATAATTGCAAGAAAATGAGCACCTGTCACATTTCACGCGGATATGTGGTTGAGTACACTCCTCGCGAGGGACAATGACATGTTCAACTCTGGAGCTCTCAGCCAATCAGAGAGCGTCAACATTTAAAGGGCTATTAAGAAACAGGCAAAACGGCGGAGTGCAAAGCCTACATCTCATTTCTCTCGTATTCACTCGCCTGCGAAATAGTAAATGTGTTTCTACATGGCTTTCTTGAAGACGGGATTGGAATGATACTTTTGCGTGGTAGATATCAGGACATGTCTGAGTTAGTGGATGCGCGCGTTTATCTGCTGCACTTGTTGCACTGAGGCGAACAGGCTGCTCAATCAAACGTTAACGGACGGAGACAAATACACCGTTACCGACGAGGTCTTGTGTTTTCATTTCGCAGGTAGGCATTTCATTCGTGGGATTTCAATTGCCTAACCTTGTGGTGGATTATACGCTTATAAAATACACCTTCTGCTGTTAAATTATCAACCGTTATTTTTGAAATTTCAAGCAACGCTGTCTGCTTTACAGATCTGTATCTTCAAAAACACCAAATCGTGCTCACGATGCCAGTGTTAATGAGTCCAGAGATAGCGAATAAATTCAAAGAGAGATGGATGATGCTTCATCCGGAGGATCAGGACAATGTCAGCGGCTCTGTTCACTTTGACGACAGTCTCACCAGCCTGCACTGGCTGCAGAACTTCTCCATCCTCAGTGCCAATCCTGAGCGGACTCCCAGCTCTGGCTGCCATCCGCAACACCTCTTCTACCACAAAAACCAGCTGGGGGGCACCGACTCACCCTCCAGCCCACCTGCTGGAGATACCGCCGCCGCAGGGATGCCACAAACACCTGGGAATCCCACAACGTCCTGCAGCAGTTTGGCGAATTCATACGCGCAGCAGCAAGCGGGACACTACATAACAGCGCAAACAAATGCGTCTGAGGAAATAGACTATAAAACAAACCGCCATGTGAAGCCACCCTATTCATATGCCACTCTGATTTGCATGGCAATGCGAGCTAGCAACAAAACCAAAATCACTCTGTCAGCCATATACAGCTGGATCACGGAGAATTTCTGCTACTACAGATACGCGGAGCCAAGTTGGCAGGTATCTTCACCGATCATTTATTTATCTTTGAGAATCACTTAGTTTTTTGTTTTTTTTTAACTTAATGGTTACGTATCTTTAGATTTTTTTAAGTAGAGAAGAAAAACTGCATATTTTTTCTTTTTTTGTGCAACAGGTGCACCGACCATTAGCTTATAAGATTATTCCCAACGATTCAGGTTTCTTAACGGTCCTGTTAACGATTCTCTTAGCACTTTAGTGGGGAAAACAGAAATCTTTCGATTAAAATGATTTTATTCAGTCTCTTGCTAAATAAGAAAAAAAAAATTCAGATTTTAATTTTCAATTTCAATTTTCAGACCAGATATAACAAAGTTATGCACCTCTTATAAGAAGTATTTACTTTATAAACGTTTTGAATCAAACAACGAAAATAATAACATGTGGTTCAATTCATTCATTTTTCAAGGTTTGTGATTAATTAAAAAAACGTCTCAAAAGACTACACTGTAAAAAATTACCGTGAATTTAACAGTAAAAATGCTACAGTAAAAACCTGTTAAATGGTTAACGGTAAATTCCCCTACTATATACTGTGAAGAACTGTATTGGACATTACACGTATTGGACATTACACGTATTGGACATTAATTTTACGGTAGTATACCGTTTTTGGACGTGAAAAAGAATTCCATGCGTTACATTTCAAATTTGAATTTGATGTTTTTTTGTTGAAATAACTATGTTTCTTAGTTTTTTTCTTATCAGTTTTGTATATTAGGGTTGTGTGTTACACCTAATGTTGTTAAATGAATGTTTATTGCATTATTTCAGTTTCATGTGTGTTACCATGATGGTGTTTAGCATTTGTGTGAATGACATGTGCACCTTCTATATATGTTATTATTTAAAAGCTGCTTGTGATGGGCTTTGGCTCATCATGTGACTTTCCCATCGCCACCTGCATTTGGTGGTTATCAGTGTATTACAAAGGTACAAAACAGATTTCAGTACTTCAATAGGTTGGTATATTAACATTATATCAGTTAATGAAATTATGGTATTTAACTGTAAATTTAAGTTAAAACC